GCAGAAGCCCGGGCCAAGTGGACACCAAAGCCAATCCTTTTTATCGCAGACAGCCCTTTCGAGGTCAGGATGGGGGGTTCCTTCAACTCGCATCCACAATGTCAGACTCCTCCCAGACAGGGCCCCTCCTTTAATAACAGGTCAGGCAGAAACAGCCAGAGATTCCAGCCCAGAAAGTCATTCAGGGACAATACCAACCGATCCTTCAAGAGGCAGAAGTGACTGCCTGAAAGATCTCCCCATAGGGAGTCAGCTGTCAACCTTTGCAGATCATTGGGACGACATCACCAACGACGCAAGGATCAGGGCCACAATCAGATTCGGCCTTCTTTTGGATTTTCTCTCCAGCCCTCCGAACCACTTTGTCCCTTGCCCCATTTCCAGGGATCCTCAAAAGAGGCTCCTAGTGGAGCAGGCCATCCATCACCTGCTCTTAATATTCAACCTGTGCCTCCAGGACAGATGGGACGGGGGTTCTACTCTTGTCTCTTTATCGTGCCAAAGTCTTCAGGGGGCTGGAGAGCGATCCTTGATCTCAAATTCTTGAATCGGTTCATCGGGTACAGGAAGTTCAAAATGCACTCTCTCTTGTCAATTCTAGAGAGTGTGCGCAGACACGATCTCCTAACCTCAGTGGACCTCACGGAGGTTTACATCCATGTACCCATTCATAAGCAACACAGACTCTCCAATTCATCTATGCAGGCTGTCACTTCCAGTATTGCGCCCTTCCCTTTGGGCTATCATCAGCCCCAAGCGTCTTCACCAAGATCCTGTCAGTCGTAGCAGCTTACCTCCGTGCCAGACCCATTCGGATCTTTTGTTACCTGGATGACATCCTCCTGTTGTCCAGGTCACACACACAAGCCCTGTGGGATTTACAAGACACCTTGCAGGTACTTCAGGAGGTGGGGTTCTCCATCAATCAGAGAAAAGCCACATGACCCCCACCTCTCGTCTAGTCCACTTGGGAGCTCTTATCGACTCCACCTAGGGAAAAGTCTTCCTGTCTCAGGAGAGACAGCTCAGCCTCAGGGAATTAGCCTTAGAGATACGAAGGAAGCGGCATGCCCCCCTTCTCCAGCTGTCCCAACTGCTGGGGAAGATGGTCTCTTGTTTCTCCATCATTCCTTGGGCGCGGCTTCACAGCTGTTGCCTCCAAAGGTTTCTTCTGCCATTCCAACAGCATCTGTTCCCCAGCAATAGTCAGGTTGACTCCAGAGGTCCTTCTCTCTCTGGATTGGTGGATCTCCCTGCCATCTCTCAGGGGTCTCTTTTCAGGGAACCTCCTGACCTCATTGTCACGATGGACGTGAGCTTGATGGGTTGGGGCACTCATCTGGAGGATCAGATAGTTCAGGTTCTCTGGTCCGACTCTGACCTCTCCCAAGTATGAATTGGTTAGAATTGAGGGTCATCCATCCATCCATCTAGCTCTCCTTCAGTTCCACTCTTCAGTTCGCAACACACATGTGCTCATTCGGACAGACAACATGACAGCCAAGGCACATATCAACCGCGGGGGGGGGGGAGACGAGAATTGTTTCTCTCATGGAGTCCGCCTTTCACCTAGGGATCTGGATGGAAGTCAACCTTCTCTCTTTCCACACCGAACACATCTCGGGCTACAACAACTCCAGGGCAGATTGGTTGAGCCGTACAACACTCAACCCTGCGGAGTGGACTCTCAACTGTTGCATCTTACGACAGCTGTCAACCAGGTATGGGGACCTGATCCTAGATCTCTTCACAACAGCATCCAACAAACAGCTGCCCAGGTATCTGTCTCGCTAAATGACACCAGGTGTGGAAGGGACGGACGCCTTGAGGTGCAGGTGGCCCCGTGGTCTCCTGTACGCCTTCCCTCCCTTCCCCCTGATACAGAGGGTCATTCAAAAAATGATAGAGGATGAGTCTGAGCTCATTCTGCTTCCCCCCAATTGGTCGCGCCGGCCGTGATTCGCGGACCACATCAACCTCTCAGTGGGGCCAGAGTGGCATCTTGCCCTGATACCGTCCCTTCTTCATCAGGGTTCCATCAATACCCCGACCTATCTTGGCTCCGCCTAACCGCATGGAGGCTGAGGGGAAGGTCTTGAGGATGGCTAACCTTTCTGAGACTGTAATCCAAACCATTCAGGCTTCCTGACGCCCAGCCACTAATAGAATCTACGAATCAACATGGCAGACTTTCTCGAGGCTTCATTTTCCCAGGTTTTGGAGTTTCTGCAACAGGGACAAAACAAAGAGCTTGCGCCTAACACCTTTCGGAGGCAGGTTTCGGCTCTGTCTTTGGTTCTCTCTCTTCACTGAAATGAGCCTCTCTCCTTACACTCTCATGTACGATGCTTCATTAAGGACACGTCTAACCTCTACCCTCCTGTCATCCACCACTTTCCCTCGGGGGATCTTACCAGGGTCCTTGACTCCCTCAGTGGACCATCCTTCGAGCCGCTCAGGTCGGCCTCCCTGCATCACCTCACATTGAAGACAACCTTCCTGATGACTATCATGTCGGCACGACGTATCTCAGAATTGGCAGCTCTTTCCATCCGTTCCGACTTGTGTACCTTTCACCCAGACCATGTGGTCCTTTGGGTTAATCCCACCTTTGTCCCAAAGGTCAATTCGGCCTTTCATCGGTCCCTGGCCCTCACCCTACCAAACTTTTGCCCTAATTCCTCTCATAGACTCGAGTGCAAATGGCACAAGTTAGACATCAGAAGGGCTCTTAAGATGTATATTGCCAAGACTTCAGATGCACTGAGGAGCTCTTCATCTCTTTCCATCCCACAAATAAGGGGCTAAAGGCTTCACCATCTATGGTGGGGTGCTGGATCCGATCGGCTATAACCAGGGCTTACGTGGCAAACCAGCTCTCCCCTCCATCTAACATCACTGTGCATTCCACACGAAGCGCGGCTACATCTGCAGCGTGGACAAGGCAGGCCTTGGTGGAAGAGATCTGCAAGGCGGCCACCTGGGCGACCCCTAATTCTTTTATCCGCCATTATAAGATGGACAGATACACATTGGTGGATGCGGCATTTGGACGGCGAGTCCTCCAGCAAGTTCTCCCTTCTTCAAGCTCTTAGCCCAGTCTCAATCCCACCCAGGGACAAGCCCAACTCTGGTATGTCCCATGCATGACCGCTGTCTCCACCAACGTTGGAGAATGGGGCGTTGGTTCTTACCTGATACGTCCCTTCTCTAGGCAGGTGGAGACAGCAGTCATCCCCACCCTTGGTTCCTGGCCTAGTGACAGTGGGCATTATGGAGCTAAGGGTTTTTTCCCCTGGAGAATTGAAAACAGTCAACTAATGCACAGGAGTCTACTTATCTCCTTCATCACAAAAGCGGGAGGACACTCCCCCGAGGTGATGACATCACTTTGGTAGACTCAGTTCTATTGGTTACTGACTGAGTTAACCCATGCATGACCACTGTCTCCACCTGCCTAGAGAAGGGGCGTATCAGGTAAGAACCAACGCCTCTTTCTTCACAAAGTTTTCTAAAAATAATGGTAAAATTTCAGGCTTTTTTCATCATACTTTATCAAAATGTCCGTATATTTTAATTTCACTAACTATTCTATTTCCCACTCACTGAATCAGTCCATTCTCTTGCCTATAATTGCACACAGTTCTTAAGAGTGGGTGCAGCTAATCTTCATATATTGTGCCATAACTGTTGTTTTCAGGTTTTTACTTATTAGGAAAGGATTTCAGCTGTTTTTCATTTACCACTGTTCTTTTTGTGTGTGTCATCTGACCTTTCTTGGTTATGTCATTGAGATTTCTTTTGATCTGGTTTTAGAGATAGATAGTTCTATAATCACACCTATAAAACGTATCTGACCTCGCCTAACTTTCTAGTCAGTTTCTCCCTAGTATATTTGGGAACAACTGAATTGATTTTTCTACCAATAGGTTATTCTGTGAGCTCAGTTAACTTCATTAGAAAACAGTTGTTTAAAGTACATACATTTCCACATGCAAACTGAAATACCAATGTTTCCTATTGGTGGAAGTATAAAACAGAGACATTTTATTCAAAATAATATCATTCATGAACCTTTTCCCACATATACATAAAATAAGCATGGATTTGTTTGCTATGAATTTGATATTGGATGGCTGAATAAAAGAATAGGTGGTGGATGGAGTATTGGGATGGGGAAACATAAAAAGGAATGTAAAAATAATGTAAAAATTGATACATATATAGAAATCTGGCCTGCAATCTTTTATGAAAAAGTTTACCATTTTTACAAGCTACTGTGAGGCTTTCAAAATTTGCAAGTTACTTTTCAGTTCTTCAATGATTTTTTTTTTAAACTGGTGTTTTTTTCATTTTTAGATGCCCTAATGTTTCCCCTTCTTTTCAAACACCAAGTCTACCTGAGATTGGCCAATGCACAGACAGTAGCTGTAAAGTCCCAATAGGAGGTAAGTATAGCAATTGCTTAAATGGTTTGGTTATGGGATTTGATGGGGAATGCTTGACAAAATATTTTTATGGGAGAGTTGAATGAATCTTAATCAGAAAAAGAAATTAGTTGTGGATGTTCCATCACGGAGGTTTTAAAGAAGAAATTGGACAGTCGTTTATCTGGAATGCCACTGAGAGTGAGACTGTCTCTTGAGTTGGAGAAAGGACAAAAGTTCAGATAAGCTGGCTATTTGGAATTGGAATACTAAGGACCCTACTATTAATCAGAATAAATATGTTCCTTTTTCCCAAGCCATGCTTATTGCATTCAGCTGTTTCAGTTTGGTCAAATGAATTTTGCTTTTCCTGATGGAAAGTACTTCCATCAGGAAGTCAATTTGGGTAATGGTCAATATGGTGTAGGGGTTAGACAAGATTAGACAAGATCCACATTATAATCTGTCTTCAATGTGGAACAGCTTTTTTTCTGTCAGGTTCATACATTTCTGTTACTTAAAGGTTTATGGTTTCCTCTTTTGTCTTTTCTTATTTATTTTAAGCATTTTTATAATGGCATGGCTGCTTTCACATTAATAAATGGATTTCTGACTTTTAAATTATACCTTCCTTTGTGAGAATGATATAGTGACATTTTTTTCTGCATATAGTGAAACAACTATCTTTTCCCAGAGATGGCTGTCATTCAATTTGGCTTTAATCAATCTAATTGACTGATTAGCAGCAAGAGAAGTTGCTGCTAATGAAGTTGCACCATGCCCGTAAATTGCCAAACCATTGAGCTCTTCTATATCTATGTTTGAATGTGTGTATGCAGCCATATAACGGGAATAAAACTTTTTCTTAGAAAAATGTGAGCTTGGATATTCCTCAGAATTCTGCTTAGAGAACTGTTTTATTTTTCACCAGCAGAAGCATGGAAACAGTTTTTTATACAGCTCATTGAAGGACTTGGTGTTCTAAAAATCTGCATCCTGCCAGTGGGATTTTTTGCTGATTCACAGGGAAAAGGTTATGTTAGGATGACATATTTGTAATTTATCATTAGGGAAGATTGTAATACAGAAATGCTGAAATATAATTTCACTGTTTGTAGAAAGAACAATCTAATCAAATCTTATAATTGTGCATCGTCTTCTTTCCCTACTTTATGACTGCAAAGTTCTCTATCCCCAATGTAAGGCATTTTAATTTATTTCATTTTAATTTATTTTTTGGCATGGCAGAATGAGTGAAAGGAACGTCCAAAGTTTGAGCAAAGGAGTATTGGTGCTCTCTCTCTGCCTTATAATGCTTTGGGGAAGGCTGACACAGGCATCATCATATCACAGAAGCCATTCGGGTAAGTCAAATTATTTCTTTTCTTGTAAATCTGCAGTGTTTAATAGAATACTGTACTTCATTTTTTCTCGTTCTGCTGCCTTCCAGAGATATTGCAACTACAGTTGTCAGAAGTGTTAATTTGCTTTGTTAATAATCAAGTGGGCTGAAAAAAATTGAAATTACGATAGCTGCGCAATAGCTACAGATGGGGCAAGCTGAGCATGTAGGTAGGTAGATAGAGGGATAGAGAGAGAGAAATAGAAAGATAGAGAGAGAAAGAAATACAGTATGTAGGTAGGGAGAGAGAGAGAGAGAGTAGGTAGGTATCTAGGTAGATAGAGGCAGAGAGAGAGAGTAATATAGTAGGTAGGGAGGGAGAGAGGGTAGATAGGTAAATGTTTCCAGGTGTATTTATCCATGTACTGGAGAATGAAATTGCTGACAATCTGCAGCACCCAAGACTTTGTTTCTGCTGGTACAGCACTTGATCAATGTAATTCTCATCAATCAGTTAAAAAGCTTTCCAAAAGGAAAAAAAAAAGTTTTTGCACTCTACAAACCTCCCAAAAACGGCCCGTTTTTTGCGAAAACAGGCCCGTTTTTTTTTAAAGGGCATGAATAGCCTTGGGGCGGGCTGGCAGCATGCTGGGGGGGGGGGACAAAAATGAGCAAAAAATGCCCGTTTTTTGCAAAAATGGGCACTTTTTGTAAAAAAAATTTGCATGCATAGCCTTATGGAGGCTTATAGAGTGCTGCTGGGGGCTGGACAAAAACGCTTGTTTTTTGCTCATTTCTGCCCTCCCCAGCCCCCAGGAGCTGTCTGAAAGCCTACATAAGGGTATGCATGGCCATTTTGGTGAAGGGGCGGGGCTTAGGGAGGCAAAAAATGCTGTATTCAGGGTATAAGACGCACCCAGATTTTCAGCCTCTTTTTTGAGGGGAAAAAGTGCGTCTTATAGTCCAAAAAGTATGGTAAGTAAAATTCTCAGGAACCTCCAAATGTTGTTATCAACTCTAATTCTATATATGATAAAATGGAATATGATAACATGACTGGAGAGGTGAAACACACACACACACACACACACACACACACACAAACACACAAACACGGCGCTGCAGATTCCAAGAATTCTGATAATTTCCAGACAGGAGTTGGAAGTGCAGGCTATCAGTGGCTGATTGTCAGGTAGATGAATAGTTGTCTGCTACACCTATTTATCTCCGCCCCCTGCCTTTTATCCCCAGAGCTAGGGTGGGCTTCATTAGCAGCAGGGACTCTTCTGTCCCAAGGACCAGCCCATAGATTTCCACTCCTCTCCTCTTTTCTTCCTTCTGCACATCTGCACATCAAACACTGCACTCAGCTGCTCCTCCTCTTCCTCATTAGCCAACTCCAAATCTGGGAGCTGTTGACTCTCCATCTGAAGGCTGATGGAAGGCCCAGGCTCTGCCTCTATCTCTATCTCTGAAAGCTCCATTCCCTCGTCCCCCTCGGAGCTCTCAGAATTACCTTGATGCTGGCCCTGACTTGCTCGTCGCCTCCTCATCTGATTTGGCTACCTGAAGAACTAGAGGCCAATAGGCCCAACACTATCCCATATAATGATTATGTGGCTCATGACATTCTATGAAGGCATGGTTAAAAACAAATTTCCTTCTCCCCAGGTGTCAGACCAAATGTCCTCACAGCTCACCTCCATCCACGCCCAATGCTTAGGGAAGATCCAGCTTCTTCCCCTCTTCACAGCCCTCTGGAAAGCTAAGAGGTCTCTAGGATATAAGGGCAGAGGCTGTTCCAAAGGAACTAATATTATTTCATCCGTCTCTTTCTGAAAGTTGTGTACTCCTGGTTCAGGATTTATTCAGGCAACCAACTGAATAAACATTGATGGGGGAAATCTAGTTTCCAGCTGAGTTCCTCTTTCATGTTTCGTCTGGTTTACAAATGTATGCTGCCTAAGGACTATTTCTGTCAAAGTGCTTTCCCATACCATATGCTCTCAATATGAGCTGGGCTTTGAAAATTGACCATCAATGTTCTTTTCTTTCATTCAAGTCCATTTCATCTGAACCTTTTTCTTCCTTCAGGATAGAAGGATAGTCAGGATATTCCTTCTGATGCTGGTAATTAAGGGAAGATGATGAGAGCCCCTTTGTAATGAAACCAAGTAATATAAATTAGCCATTAGTTAATATTTGCAAATTAGCAAAACAAAACAAAACCAAAAACCAAATAGATAAAAAAATTAAAAAGCAGTGGTATACATTTTTAGTTTTTACTGAAATGTTATAGGGACGCGGTGGCTCAGTGGCTAAGATGCTGAGCTTGTTGATCAGAAAGGTCAGCAGTTTGGTGGTTCGAATCCCTAGCGCTGCATAATGGATGAGCTCCTGTTACTTGTTCCAGCTTCTGCCAACCTAGCAGTTTGAATGCATGTAAAAATGCAAGTAGAAAAATAGGAACCACCTTTGGTGGGATAGTAACAGCATTCCATGTGCCTTCGGCATTTAGCCATGCTAGTCACATGACCACGGAGACGTCTTCGGTTTTGAAATGGAGATGAGCATTGCCCCCTAGAGTCTGGAACGACTAGCACATATGTGTGAGGGGAACCTTTACCTTTAACTGATAATGGGCTGAACTTCAGGTGTTTGTAGAATAAAACCTGTATAGTGGGATTTTAATTATTCAGAAGTGAATACATTTTTACATAATTAACATAATAGTATTAATTTATCTTTCATGCTAAAAATATATTCTGCCATCCCTGAATTCTCTACTGTGACCTGCAAGGAGAGGAAGCTCAGGGATTAATAACTGCAGAGAACTGTCTGAACCTTGCTTTCCTGTGTGGCTTCCTGCGATTGGAAGCAATTAAAAGTGAATAATCACCTTGAGTATTTAGGAAGATAGTTTTGTCCGTAAGGGCAGGGGAGCCTTTTTGGTTTGCTTGCAAGTGCATAAGTCCCATTGCTGCTATCTAGAGTATATCCCGGAATGTGGTAGGAGTACATAAAAAGTGGGCATATGGGGAGAGGGATGTAAAGGGAGAGGGAAAAGGCGGAGGGAGGAAGAGATTGATCAGGAAAGGCATAATAAGTACCTGTCTGAGGAGAGAGAGAAAAAGCAAATGCTGCTTGAGTCTCACAGGCATAACTGCATTGTAGTCTTTTGAGTTGTAAATATAGTTCTGTCATTTTTCGTATACAAGCTATTTTCTAATTCTCATTTGAAAGCGAAGCCTCTCGCTTGACGAGAAAGAGCTGATGGAAATTGGGCTAAGAAATTCAAATTTGCATTCCGCTCATGTCTGTTGCATACTTGTATCTGCATAAAAGTGATACTTCTAAAGTAATTCTGCTTCACTGCTTCTTTTCTGACCATAACAGCTTTTGATGCAACAGAGCTTTTTAACAATAGCAGAACCTATGAACTCCGGTTCGGCTGCATTTTTGGCTTCCATACATGAGGCATTCTTCCAAACTGCTTTTGTATTTAATGACCTAATGTCAGAAGGCTGGTTCTACTTCTTGTGTGCTGTGAAAGACACAACAGTGTTGAAAAGACGTTTCAGGAGTTGTGCAATAGCTCTATATTTTCTTTGAGATGTATCAGCATATGCTGCAATTACTAATGGGAGTACTTGGAAATAGTTACAAGAGAAGCTGGAGGCACCAATGATGTTACGCTGTAAAATGTTTTTTTTTTTTAAAAAAAAAATTCAGCTTCATAAGTATGTGGAAGGAAGTCTTGCCTGGAAACTCATATCAGTCTTCCTAAGTATTTCCAAGGATAAATGGAATGAAATAAAATTAGAAGTCCTGCTCAGGCATGCAATGCTTCAATGCATCCTCAAATGAGTATATTTACTCCTGTAGATATGGCTTTCCAAGGTGACAATAGAATGGTGTTCTGAAGATCCCATTTTTCAGTAGTGGTGCCTACCTTATATGTAGGAAATTTATGTGCAAGGGGATCAGGATTTAATGGTTTTTTTGGGGGGGTAATAATCCCCCCCACAAATAGAAAGGAAATCTCTGTCTCTCTCCCCCCCCCCTTAAAGAATATTCTCCCTAATATATGGGAGAAGACAGATGAAATATGATTCCATGTACTTTATTCCGTATTCTATTTTTACCATTCATGTCCTTCTATAGATAAATCAATTCTAATCTTTTACCTAAACACATAGTCTCATTTCAAATAATCACTGAGGATCTATTTTTTCTTCACTTCCTAATTTATTGCTAGGTGCATATGAAGATAAATTTCTCTAATAATGTCTGGAATTATTTTAGAGGGATTAAAATTTGTTTATGACATACAGTTTCACTAAATTATTCTCTTCATGAAATTTGTCAAGAAATTTCTTGGAATAAGAGGCAACAATTTGATTTGGGGGAATGTGATGCATGAGGCCAACATATTTTAAGACAGAACAGAATTGTAATGTTATAACAGTATGATAGTCCATCAATTTTTATTCCATCATATGGAATATACATGTACAGACACACTCTATGTTTCTCAGGATGAGTGAGACAGTTTATTTATATAATATAAAGATTAAGTTTATGTTGGATTTTAATAGTAAATCACAACTAGCTCTTGAATATGTGGATTTCTCTTACACACTACTTTCTGTGCATATAAAGACTCATTTGTATCTTATGATTTAATTTTTTGTTCAGCTGCAGTGTCTGCTGAATGTTCTAAGAGTGAAATAGGGATATGTGTGCATATGTGTCTATGTATGTGTGCCTCTGAATATGTAATGAACATTTTCCTAGAGATCAAAGCAGCAAAAAAGGGCAACTACTTTTATAAAGCCATTGTTAAACAATTTTAAATTTAAAAAAATTACTGTGATGAAGGCAATGATCACTAGCAGAATTTATTTGCATCGATTATGCATCGATGAAATGTTTTTCCATCCAGAATATCAGTTGTAACATGAAATATGTACTGTTGTGCTTTTTTAATGATGTATTGTCTTCATGTTTGTAACTTGTTTG